AAAAAAAAAAAAAAAAAAAAAAAGTCCGGGGGGTGGCAGGGCGAGCAGAGACATTTCAGCTCCTCTCCCTTTTATTAAACAGGGTCTAATCAATTATCAGGATTTCCCCCTGTTGTGGGCCTCCCTCTTGCACACACGTTCTCCAAACACTACCCGGAAACTCCCACAGCTGGATGACTTTTGTGAACTACAGGCTGCTCCCATCCTGGAGGAAGGAAAAATAGGTCCCGCGTCAACCTTAGCTCCACTTCCGAAGTGGTGACTGTCACTCTTCCGTTTACACTTTCTCCAACTCCCGGGGTGCTCTCCCCCAGGCAGGGACCTTGACAACGTTCATGTCCTTAGCCTGAGACACTCCTCTAGGCTGTCCCTATGGCTCCCCTGGCCCGAGGTGTTTGTACAGCCCGGTAGCCAAAACTATGGCCTGGCTCCAGGGCTGGGGAGATGGCTCAGGGTGTAAAGGGGCCCCGCTGCCACGCTGACAACCTGAGCGTCCCTGAGACCCACTCGGTGGAAGGAGAGGATCGGCCCCCAAAGGTTGTTCTCTGGCCTATGTGTACATGTACACACACACACACACACACACACACACACACACACACACACACAATTAATTCAATAACAATTGTATTGGCTGCACAGTCAAGTGGATCTCAGTTTGATTCCTAGTTTAAATACTTACCCTAGTTTAAGTACATCTATGTGTGCTCCTAGGGAAGATTTTATATCACCATGTTCAGTTTTGATTTGGCCAACAGGGGTAATACTGACGCCACAGGGTTCAGGGGCAGATTCAGTGAGGGTATAATCTTGAAGCACCAGGACTTTGTTACTGTTTTGTCCCAGGTGCCTAGAAGGGGACTCCTGCTTACAGTAGATGATAAATAAATACCTGTTGAATGACTATGTGCACGTAAAGTATGAGACCCTACATCTGGCTCCAAGTTTTCAATAATGACTTATGACCTTACATGGGGTTTGTTGTTAAGCTCGAGGATAATTTTATTAACGTTTAAAAGAAAAATTCCAGGGCAGGCAAGCTGTGAATCTCAGCAGATGGAGGAGGAGGAGGAGGAAAGCCATGGCTTTTCTCAACAGCTGCAGCGTGGATGGGCAGCCACACAGCAGGGAGAGGGCTTCAGAAGAGTGGAAAGGTGCCCAGTGACAGGATGCTTAGGCTCTGGCCAGCTCGAAAGAAAGAGACAGAAAAGGAAAAGGGGAAAGCCGGGCGGTGGTGGCGCACGCCTTTAATCCCAGCACTCGGGAGGCAGAGCCAGGCAGATCTCTGTGAGTTCGAGGCCAGCCTGGGCTACAGAGTGAGT